GAAGCACGCCAAGATGCTTAGCAGGGCGACACTTTGGGGTTTAGGGGTTTAGGGTTTAGGGGTTTAGGGGTTTAGGGTCTAGGGTCTAGGGTTTAGGCTCCGGGGGTCAGGGCTGGAAGGCTTTAGGGCTTGAGGGCATCAGGAGCTTACCCGCGCTTAGCTGCGGCTCCTCACCGCTTGAATGATGCCGAATTTGAGGCTCCCTGTCGGGTTGGGAATCAGGGGGGTGTGTGGGAACTCAACGAATTTGGATGCATATACGCAAAAACAGCTGGGTTTCAGTGTCGGGAAGCCAGTCAAACTGTGCTGAGGCAGCTTTTCCTCCTGTTTCCGTTGCAGAGTGCGCATCTGCCGATGTCCAAACTCAAGATTGACAGTCAAACGATCACTGCACACACCAATACGAAAAAATCTCTGAATCAACAACCCGAGGCTGTCGATTTGTGCAGGTCGTTCCTGTCAAGTAACCCCTTGGCGCAGATCCGATCCCCTGCGGGGCTCTTCGCTCGATGGACCCAGGCTTCACAAGTTCAGACAATACGCAAACAGGAGTCTCAGACAAAAGGAAAGTGAAGATCAGAAGCATTCGCCCCTGATTGTGCGAGTACATACCTACCTACCTACCTACCTACCTACGTACGTACGTACATACATACATACATACATACATACATCTTTCTTTCGGACGCTGCAAAGCGATCTTCGCTTGGCGGGCTGTTATGACAGGTAGCCACCCCGGCTCATGGTGAGCACCGTGCTTTGCACGGTTCCGGAAACGCGCTGAGTGCACAAGTTCGAAACCACCATAGGTGGATATGACGAGGTTGGGCAACAGCCTGGCACGAATGCCCCGTATGCTGTTGCGTGCACGTGACTCACTGGAGCTGATAGAGGTATACATAGCCATGCGTGTATGCTGGGGCTGGTAGCTCATCCAGTGGCTGCGGGCTTTTTCCATCATCGCAATAGAGATGCCGACTGCGGGCGCATGGTGAGTAAAGCAGTGCCCTGTAGTGGCCGGATGCAGGACTCGCCCCCTCGTGGATGATAATAGCCCGAAGATTGTACTGTTGAGGCTGGGTTGTGGCATCCGCAGGAAGGCTGTCAGCTTCCGAAATGAAGCACTGGACAGATAGGCATGGGTCGGGTTGAATGGGAGTGAGGTCCCGCAGTGGGCATCCGAAACGATTAATCTGTACGGCTAGGAGAGGAGGAACTGCGCTAAGTGCTGTGACCCCGTCAACGGCCTGAGTATACCAGTGGTCGAGGATGGTGCAAAGTGACAAACGCTGGTCAGGGAAGAGATGGATCTGAGCCGGTGACACCGCGAGCAGTAAAGGCCATGTCTCCCCACAATCACGCACCTCACAAATGGGGGCGCCAGTAACCGCATCGAAGTCCAATAATCGACGCTGCCACACTGCCAACCTCCGACGATGAGGCTGGGAATGATGTACCTGCGAGCATAGTGCAGATACTCTGCTGCATCATGCTGTACATGAGGTCTGCGCCAATTTGAATGCAGGAGGGACCAAGGCAAGAGCGACCAGAGGTCTGGAAGTCCTGCCTGAGAGCTCATTCTCTGCATGATTGATTGCATAGCCGGGCCCAAAGGTCCTGAGCAGGTGGAAGATGCAGCATAGTCCAATTGAGAGAAAGCAGAACCGTATTGGCGTAACAGTGATTGCTGGAATTGGATATGTGAGCAGTGGGATGGAGTAAGGCATGGACACTTACTTGGAGAGGCGCTTGGCTAGCTCGCTCGCCAGGGCAGATCGTCCCATTCTTTCCATCCTGAGTGATCCTCCGACGAGTTGCCAAATGGAGGAATGGGTCAGGCTGGTGAGATGACGGTGGAGAAGGGTGGCATGATCCGTACGGCTCACCACCTGTAGGATGAAGGGGACGGTGGGGCCTCTCAACTGGCCGGCCAGTTTCTGAGTCGCATGGAATCGAAGTACGGAGAGTTGGGGAAGTGCCGACTTCTGTATCTCCGCAAGGATCTCCAGCATGCGGGAGAGGGGAATGGGGTGACTGTCCCCGCGTGGTTCCAGCCTCCGGCCTCCTGATTGAAGACCAGGAATGTTTCTCTGGCCTCCTTGCAGTGTCTATTCCCAAAAGATATGTGGGATCCAGAATATAGAACCAAGTAAAAATTAAGAGGGAAAAATTTTCATTCCCAATCAAAGAGTATTTGAGCGAATCGTGATATGTAACATGTGAGAAATGCGGCAACGCTCGGTCCTCGCTTTTTTCTTCCTCCAAGCTCGGGGGTAAAGCCACCGGGGAGATGGCGAGTCTGGGCGAGCACAGCCCTTCGGCGAAAGCAGCCGATCGAGCAACCATCTTCCCCCTGCCCCAAGCGAGCAGAGGATGCGAACGCGTTCACTGCAACACTTCTTCAGTCCAATCTGCCTCCAATCTTGCCGACGCAAGGATCGCACGAGCAAGCACAGGCTCGTAGTCTCGGGCCCAAAGAAAGTCTTTCATCGTGGATGTCAAAGCTATGTCACCTTTGTTCTCCAGCTTGAAGCGCACGCAGGCTTCGGCAATCTCGGCCCGGGATGGCAGGTCGGCCGGGTTGCTCTTCGATGGCTTGTCGAGGGTGAGTATCGCTTGATGAATCCGTAGCGGCAGGGATCGTTATCGATGAAAGCAAGAATCGATCTCCCTTTCACCGAGCCTCGAATCCCGTAAAGGACTATTGCTAAAGCAAAGGCCTCCACCTGGCAGATCACCTGCTCACCTGCCTCACGCTTCCAATGTGCCACGAGGGAAGAATCAACAGTGACCCCAAAGGCCCATCTGGCACCTCAGAGCTCGTCGATCAAGACCGCTCCCCAAGTCCCAATTCCTTTCTCGTATGCCCCATCGGTATACAAGATGATCGGCGGGGAAATCGATGCTGGGCACCTCTTCGGTCGGCACTGCGCGATAACGTCCAAGGCTAAAGCACAAGCCTGCTTCAGCTCAGGCGTGTTGCCAAGGAAAGGTCCTGACAAGGCTCGCGAAAGCATTCTGGCTGTGGGCTTCAACTCGAACCCTAGAATCAAGCCACCTGCAAAGTTCAGCAGGCCATGCAAGGAAGCGACTTCTGACCTGGAGACATCTTTCCCCGAAGCGATGGTGCGGAGCATCTGAGAAATCTTCTCAAGACGGCCGGGCTTGTTCTCCACAGTGAGAACCCCGCTCCAGAGTTCCCCCAGACCAAGCGAAACCCCTAAAGTCACGACTTTGGAGTCGAAGGCCACAAATTTTCGCCCTGCCTTGGCATAAGTCCAACCTAGGAGATCAAGCAGTCGCATCAAGACTTTGTCAAGCAAAGAAGCAGCTGGTTTAAACTCGTAGATTGTGTAATCGTCGTAGAAATCCGTAGCGATGGCAAAGAATTTTACGATCATGATGTGAAGAATGCCCAAGGCGATCTTGTTAAAGCCATACACGCTGGCCGCAGCCCCGAAGGGCAAGCTCTTGGCTAGGTAGAATTCCCAGTCGCCTTGCGGGCTCGGAAACCCTAGGACCGCATGAGCCTTCGAGTCAGGGTGGATCCCCACCTGACGGTATGCCTTGCTCAAGTCTAGCGTCTTCCCCAAGAGTGCAGGGCAGCTGAGCATTCTCCCGTGACCACTCGCCCTCCAGGGTGGTGCCGTCCGAGAGTGGCACTCGCACTTTGGAACGATCTTGGAGCACTCGGGAGAGGAACCTTAAAAGGCCTACCGCGTAATCAGTGTCCTGCAGCTCCAGGAATGACGAGGAACCGAATGCACGGTTCACAGCTGACATCTTGAAGTCGTCGATTATCCGGATCTTGGAATCCTCCCCCTGCCTCAAGAGGAAGCGAGGCGAAAGAGACCAGTCATCGGTCTGTAGCAGATCACTGACCTCCCGTTCGGAACGGTAGGGACCTGTCAGGAAACCAGCAGCCACCTCCTCGGCAGTTTCAGCTTTCATGGCAGCATAGTCTTCATGCGCTGCAGCGCTTGTGGCGGAGGGCAGCGCGAGCGCTCAGCTGCTCCGGCTCGATTTCCTTAAGGCTTCGGCCTCTTGGAGAACAAGGCGGACTCAACCTCCTGACCCACCAACGCCACGCGCAGCCCAGTTAGCCCAGTTCGCCAGCCCAGCCCAGCCCAGCCCAGCCCAGCCCAAAGGTCAAGAACGGACAAGTCAGGAAATTTGGTCTCCTCGAGCAGCTGCCTGAACAGGACAGTGCCTTTCCCTTCGTCACCGAATCCACGTCAGGATGCATCTTTTGTTGCAGCGCCTTCTCGGTTGATTCAAGTTGGGCCAACTGGTCATTCAAGCTCTGAAGGGCTAACATTCTTTTCTTAGAGATGGACACAGGGCCTTCAGTAAGCACAGCGAAAATGTTTTTCCTAAGTTGGTCCACTGGTGTCAGCGGGACAAGCTGTAAGTGTGCTTCCATAGTATGGTAAACACTTTGCCATGTCAAAGGCAACTGCATCTCTGTCACTAAACCCCCGACTACCAACATCTTAGCCTTAAACCTTTTGGTTGCGGACTCTAGCGAGACGCCTTGAGCCGACAGGCGCAGCATCCCAACTTAGGAGCATAGCCGCAGCGGAGATCGACCCGGACGTTGCATCTTGTCGATGAACTTGTCCAGCAGATCCTCTGCTGGAAGTCTCAGAAGTTCAGTTCTAGCGGAGCAGAATATGTAAGAAGAGGAGCCATGCAGTGACCATGCAGCAAAGTAGCACTTGCAGAGGAAGCATTGAGGCATGCCGTCCAGAGCGCATCGCATCTCTGTGCATCTGTTGGTTGGGTGGTCGAAGAAGAGAAGGAGCGGAGCACCGCAGAAGTGACCTTTACAAGACGAGCGACGGGAGCAGAGGTGGAGACACGAGGATTGGCCTTACTGACCATCAGGTGAGCAAGTCTGGGTCGCGGCAGTCGGAGACATCCTTGAAGAACGATGCTAAAAGATTATGCCAGTCTCGCCTGTGTATCAAACGAAACATCAAGGAGAGGGCGTTCTCGCCGTTTGCGAAGTTTCGTGTGTGATCCAGCTTGGCGACTTCAATCTGTTTGACCACTGCCTGCCCCGAAGCATGTCTTCCACGAGGTGGAAGACCGGTGCTGGTAAGACCATAGCGGATGGAAGACACAGGCCTGCTCTTTGCCTGAGTCGAGCCTGTAAAGAGAGCTTTTCGAAGCTGTCGTAACTGAGCACAATTCCAAGGATGATGTTTGCGAAAAAGCAGATCAAGGGAGCCACAGCAGGCAATGCGCAAGCTGGTGCCTTGTCCGGATGGCAGACAAGCAGAAGTTGCAACAGACGAGTCTTGCAAGGACCTCGTAGCCCATCAATAATTACGATCCCAGACCCTGGAGAGTGTCAATGATAAACGCAGCATCACGCAGAGCCTTGAGTGCTGCATCCGGTGTATCAACGTCCCACTGCGCAAGTATGTCATCGGAGAAAGCGATAAGAGCGGTGAGAGGAACCCGAGCGCTGAGCAGATGCAGTGCATAGCAGACAAAGATGCTCCAGAGCGCATGAGCCAAGCCGCAGCCCTGACGGACTCTGGGTGAAGAGCAACATGGATGTCATGCTCCTTATGCTGTATGAGCAAGGAAGACTGCCTGTGCGGCACACGCAGACCTGCCACAAGTGGTTTGAACAACTATCAAGGGTACGAGCACCTGCTGTCCCTTCACGGGGAAACCTTAAGCAAGCTGCAAACTCCTGCTCCTTCCGAAAGGACAGCCGTAGTAAAGCTCAAGGTGCACAGGCTGCAGAGGTCACCAAACCAGTACTTCCAAAGAGGAAGAGAAGAAGGTTAAAGACCAACCAGCGACGGAGAACACGCCCCCTGGGCAAAAATCCCCGGAAAAAAAGGCTGAACCCAAGTTCTCAATTTTGTTCTCCTCTCCCCTCCCGGACCTTGCTCCCACAAACAGGATAACTGTTTACAGGCAGAATAGATAAGAAGTTGCTGGGGCTTCAGGAAGTCCATGAAACCTGGTACACGGGCAGCCATGTTCCAAGATAGACGGCAGGAACCATCTGCCCGCAGAACTGTTTACGACTGAAGCACGCTCAACTTTTGCCATCGACTTCTATCCTTTTTCAGTGGCGTTATCGCCCAAACGGCCCTCAATGCCGAACTGTGCAGAGAAACAAAGAGGCAATGCAAACGGTGCAGAGATGACCTTCCAGAAAGGAGGTTGATGCACGCACTGCCGCTGTACGATGTCTCGAAAACAGACATCCGGAAGCTTTCTGCTCTTACAACTTCGGCTTACTTTTCCTGGAGTGTTCGGGAAATGTTTCAGAAGGCATTGTACTGCGTCTGTTAAGTCTTGCCAAGACATCACACCAACTATCGCATCCGTTCACAGTCTGGATTGGGCCGGCTTGGTGTCCTCTACGGCCTGCTCCGCTCGATGATCTTGGCGGTGTCCTACATGTCTACAAGCTGGATGCACAGCGCCTTAAGCCACATCAATGGACCCTTTGGAGTCTTGCCCAGGTCTCGGTTGGACTGCTTCTTCTCCACCATGGACGGCTCCGTTCTGGGTTCACAGACTCTCAAGACTTGCTGATGTAATCGCGCTTTACGCAGCATCTTTGGCCCGAATCATGCACCTAAATAGCTCACTTTCTCAGAGAATGTACAACCGGCTTTTGCAGATCGACCTTCTGGACGCACGGACTTTCTCCGCCATGCTAAGCTCCGGAGATTTGGAACTTGCTAACGCGTTGGCGGACGTTCTGGGTACTTTCGGAACGCGCGCTGCCGCCAACGCAATCTGTCACATTTCTTGCCCGACACGGCTGCCAGAATCAGCAAAAATGCGCACCGTCCGCTCTTGCTTGCAGCAAGCCACATATGATGAACCGGCATGCCAAATGAGGGAGCATGTTCAACAGGTAGCCTCTCTCTAGGGAGGGTGTTGTCAGCTCCCACTCTGTGATAGCTACAGGCCTATGTTCAGGACATCGGTCAGAATTCCACACTTTTGAGCACTTACGATTCACGGGCCTACGGCCCGCTGCTCCCATGATCGTAGGGG